TTTTTTTTTTTTTTTTTGACATATTGATGGATTCCACAGCCAAAACCCTCTGAGGGGGTTTCCCAGCCCGAGCCCATCTCGTGCGCCATTCTGAGCCTCTGTTCCTAGGGAACTACGGCCAGAAAACTCTTAGCATAGAACATTTTGGTTAGAAGACCTGGACCGCAAAACAGGAAGAGAATGCATCCAGCATCCAGCCCAAAGAGGAGGCTCAGGATGCTGGTGATTCACAGCTCTTCCAGCAAAACCCAGAAAGAGCCAGAGCTGCCACCAGCAGACAAAGTCAGCACGCGCTTCTGTCACACACACGGCTCAGCGAGGGTCACCGTCACTGCGACGCCCGAGGTGCCCTTGAAGTCTCCATCTCCTTCTCCTCCTCTGATACCAGGTCTCGGGATTTCACAGTCATTCTTCTAAATGCCTTTTGATTTCATTATCGCCCAAGGAGACGGACCTAATTATGCCACGTTGCAACTGGAAACATATCTGAGACTCCTAGAAACACATCCGGACTCCTCATTTCGGAGATGTTGGACTTCCTGGAATAATGCTTGAATCTCACCTTTTCTCTTGTGGATCTCTTTGCCTTTTTGTTCTGCTGCATAAGATTTCCTCCGTTTTCTCTTCCAAAACTGCTGCTAAACTTTTCTTTCTAGAAATTCTATTCTCAGTTCACAAGAGTTCTAGTTACACTCTCGGTGCCGTTGCCCTTTGGAATAGCTCCCTGCGTTTCACAGACGTGGCATCGCCTCTGGTGACGTGGTGGTGCTTTCGAAGTTTCCTTCCACCTTCCCTCCGTGCTGCTTTTCCTGTGGTTTGCTCTGGCCTGTCTGTCCTCGGGTTCTCCGGTCTCCTGCCTGGAGGGCGAGGCCGGGCTCTTAGGTCTGGAGCTGGGGGTGGGGGCCTGCAGAGTCGCCCTAAGCCCTCCTTCCCCCTGTGAGGTCCAGAGCTTCCTGGCCGTCCGTCTGTCCTCAGTGAGGGGGGAGGGGCGGTCACCGGCTCTGTGGGCTGGGGGGGCCTCCCCACACCTTCCGTGGACCTTCAGCAGTGCTGCAGCTTCAGCCTCCTCCTGTACCTTGGGATTAGGGTTTTGTCACCAGCAAGTCCCCAGTGCTACGGGACCAGCCTGCTCTTGCCGGTTTGCCCTTCCCAGGCCTCTAGATTTCTCCTCCCGTGACTCAGCTAAGCGACCACTCTCTCATTCACTCATCTTCCAAGCCTGCTGACGTCCCCTGTCTGTGACGTCCTCTCCCGCTCCCTTCTCTTGTGCATTTATGCCTTTTTATTTCTTTACTGCCAGTTAGGAGACTATTAGTTTCCTGTGGCTGCTGCAACAAACATCACAAACTGGTGGCTTAAAACAACAGAAATCTATTGTTTCATGGTGCTGGAGGCCAGAAGTCCATGATCAAGGTGTCGGCAGAGCTGGTTACTTCTGGGGACTGTGAGGGAGAATCCACTCCAGGCCTGCTATGGGTCAGAGGTGTCTCCCAGAAGTTCAGGGATTGGACACTTAATCCTCATGCTAACAGTGCCAAGAGCAGGGGAAACCCCATTATGGTATTTAAAGGTGGCCGTTTGGTGGTGATCAGGTTGTGAAGACTGCACTGACATGAATGGATGATCCATGGTGGCCATGGGCACGGTTAGGATGCTCTAAAGGACAGCGGGTAAGAAGCTCAGCTCTGTCTTAGCCCAATGTTCCTTCCATGTGACACCCGCTGTAGAAGGCCCTCACCAGATGTGTCTCTAGACTTTGGACTTCCCAGCCTCCAAAACCGTAAGAAATAATTGAATTTCTTCAGAAATTACCCAGTTTCAGGTCTTCTGTTATAAGCAACAGAAACAGACCAATACCAGCCTCTGCCCAGCTGCTGGTACTGCTGGCAATCCTCGGCGCCCCTTGGCTTGTAGACACCCAGCTCCGGTCTCTGCCTCCGTCCTCCACGGCCTTCTCTCAGTCTTCCTCCGCCTCTCTC